GACAACAAGATGCTGTGCAGTGCCAAGCTGTGGATAAACAGTGTTTGCGTTGCCTTCCTTCTGATCCCAACGTTAGGAAAGAGTGAATTAACTTTATTTCTAATGAAGATCCAGACCGCGTCAGTACGAACTCGGTTCTTTGTTCACTTCATTTTACCGTGGATTCGTTAACAAACAAGGCACAATTCGACGCAGGATTTTCAGAAAGATTGAAGCTAAAAGACGATGCTGTGTGACTATATTGGAACAGTCCGTAACGTCGCAACACGCGAGTAACTGTTTTCATTACGTGATCACTATCGCTTTGTCTGGTAAACAGATCGTTTGATATGTACGGAGTGTTTATGCGTTTTTTACCTAAATCACAGCAGCGTCCATCTGTGAGGAATGTAGGCTGTCAAACATACACAACTATTAGCCAATCACAGCAGTGGTGTTTACTTCAGAGTCTACAATCCTCCAGGTCTATCCAAACAGAGTGTTCTGATGAGGGGGTTAAAACGGGACAGAAAATAGCCTATTACTTCTAAATTTGATGTTTTTAACATAACATTATAAATGGAGCTCAGAGAACAGTACAAAATAAAAAACGGAGGAAGTTCATGACCCCCTTTAAAGCTGAATCTGGTTTAGTGTCTTGAGCGTCTCGTCCTCTGGTCTATGCAGGAGATCGATGCGTTTGTGCAGGAGTTCCTGTCGGTGGTGAACCGTCTGCCGTCCTGTATCTGGACTCTGCAGGCGCTCGCCAAGCGTCCCGTCCCAGCAGACCTGGAGCGACTGCAGGAGTTCTGCTGTGTGAACCAGGCGCGCTTCCAGCAGCTTCGGAGGTACGGCTCTGACTGTTTGAGCTGGACCTCACAAAACTCCAGCACATACCGTTCACTAATCTCACAGGGATTTGCAGGAGCTACTGCACACAAAGCCGATTTAGCTCTCAAACCCAATGTTTAGGGCTGTCTGTGCACCCTGTCATATAGTAGACTGGGGTGGACGAAGTGCACAAATCATGTGCTTGAGTAAAAGTACAGATACCATAAATAAAGTAATACTCCAGTAAAAGCATTGAGTACTCTTTTTCAGTTTTACTTGAGTAAAAGTACAGAAGTATTTAATATTTATTGTACTTGAGTATAACGTTCCAGTTGATTGTTTTTGTAATTTTTACTGATATACTTTTCTATTTAATTTTATATTATATATTTTATGTAATTCTACTGCTCCTAATACCTGGGGGAGGGGGGCATGTCATACACTATCAAAGCAATTATACATTAAAATATGAATTTGGTATTTATTCTTAATGTGGATCAAGTGAACAAGTGAAAAAAATTTGAAGTTTAAAAAAAAAAAAAAAAAGGCACCATTATTTGTAAAACTAAAGTTTTCTGAATTAATTTGAATATATACAGTGGGTACGGAAAGTATTCAGACCCCCTTAAATTTTTCACACGAGGAATATAAGGTATGAGGAAAGAGTGAGTGAAAAGGGTTTTGGACACACAGCTCCAGACAGTATTACGCACTCGCATGTTCTCATGAATTGAGGAAACAATGCAGATTTTGTAGCCGCATACAGGCTGATGTGTGTTTCATTACACGTGTCTGGACTATTGACCAACAGAGCGCATTAAAACTCAATCTATGCAAAGAAAAAGCATACGGTACCATAAGCCTTGCTTTGCTGGAGAACAGTGGTGAAATGGCGAGATTAGTTTTTCAGAAATAATACCGGTACTTTCATTTAATAATGTAAAATAAAACTCTGTCCCTTCACTGTATGAATTTAATATGCGCTGATTCTTATTAAAGCTGCTAAAGTTAATCAATCTAGAGCAGTGAGTGATTTTTCTTTTGGCCTGTTTTATAAATGTTATTGACCCAGACAGCAGCAGGAATATTATGCTGCTGTCACTTTAAGAATGAATGAAATTATCCAGTATACTGACACGGGTTTCTTTCTCGACTGTTTACATTCACTTAAGACAAAACCGATTGTATTATGGTCAATACATCACCAAGACAGATGTTTTGACTTTATTTATTTATTTATTTATTTTAAATGTTGTGCATTCGAATGAAATAATTGAGCTCCCTTCAGTCCATTCACTTGCATGCTGACAGGCGGCTTTCTGTGTGTGCATGCTTCAGGTATGTTCTTAATGTGCTTCTAGATTTTTATTTATTTTTTCCTCACATGCTGCGTTTTTATCAGTAACTTAAGCAGACCTGCCAACATCAATCTGCACCGATATATTTGCATATGCAATGTAAATGATATAGTCAAATCTCTATCGTTTGACACTTTATAGAGATATATCGTCAAATCTCCCAGCCCAGCACAGAAATCCCCATCCAACATATGCTATAGCAGACAGCTGTGTCTAGTTGTAATGTGTGTGTGTGTGTGTGTGTGTGTGTGTTTAGGGATCTTGGTTTGGATGATTTGTTGAAGCACTGCGAGGGTTTGTTGGAGAAGCTGCGTTTCCCTGAGAAAGAGCCCTGCTTTCATGCTATGGCTGGAACGCAGCTCTACTCGCACACCGCGCTAGAGATGCTCCACAACTACAACCGGTACGAGCGTCTGCATGAGTCCTTCAGCTCTCTGAGAGGAAGAACCGCCGTCACATTGTCCCAATGTCTTTCTCTCTGTGTCAGGATAACCGCAGCGGTGGAGAAAGTGGAGTTGCTGTGGCAGCAGGCGTTTTCCAGAGCCCACGTCCAGCTGCAGCTCCTCCATCTGCAGCGAGAGGCCCAGCAGGTCAGGAGCACCAGCTTCACTCCTTCACATCTGTACCGTTTATGATGGTCAGAATAGGGCAAAAAATGTTAGGCTAGCCATGCTTTATGGCAAGTAAAAAGGTATATTATATCTGTGCTGACGTACCTCCAGTGTTGTGAAGGGTACTTAGGATAACTCGTAATCTGTAACCTTTTAAAATTTACATTTAAAGTCTAATAAGTAGTGTAACTGATTACTTTGATCACCTTTCTAAATGTTTAATGAATGTTTTCAACTGTTAATCATTTTGAAACATGTAAAGCAGGCAGGGTTAATCTTTCAGTCGCACTCAACACAGATTACTCGAATTAAGATTATTATAATTTAATTTTAAAGCACAGCCACCACAAAATCAGACTTTAGCAGACTTTTTTACTTTGAGATCTTTCTGAGGTTAAATACAGATTTAAAATCATAAGATGTAGTTTAGTAGTTATGATGCTGTTTTTGAAATCAGATCTTTGCGTTGCAGTAACAATGCCTTGGAAAAAAGTTAATCTTAAAAAAAAATAAAGCATATGCACAAACCCAAATAGGAAATAAAACGGTTATTGAATAAGCATGTGTCCTATTCTGTGTCTTAAACTCCTGAAACATTGCGGTCTCATATTTTAGAGCAGTCAATGCAATTTGGGGAAGAAATACAAATCTGTGCGTGTGAGAATATTCAGATGAAACCCCCTTTGTTAACATTTTCATAAGTAACTAATTTAAGTACACATTTTTTTTTTTCTCAGTAACTGTAACGGATTACGGTTTCATTTATTTTGTAACTAAATCACGTAGTTCTGTTACATGTAACCAGTTACTCCCCAACACTGCGTACCTCTCATTCGACATGAATCCAGATGTTTGCATGCTCGTGATGTGACGTTTGCCTGCCGAACAATTATTTATTTTGTAAACCATGCTTTATACTTGTAATATCCACATTTTTTTTAAAAAGTGTTTTGCGCAGCACCACGGTGCTCTGTGAGTGTAAGTGCTGTGTTCTGGTAATGTTTGTTATTGCGAGAGGTTTATTTCATGTCAGCTCCTGCCATTTATTTCAGATACAGGAGCAGATGGTTGCTTTGCACAGGGAGAAAGTTCAGCCCTACAGGATTAAAGTGGCTAAAGACGTGCACAGAGCTGAAGAGCTCCGGCTGGAATTCGAGGCTTCAGTATACACTCATGCAATGGTATGTGACCATTAAACCCAACATGCACACATCAGATTTCTCTAAATCTCTGTACAATTTGTGAGCTGAGCGTATGTGCACTTTATTTTCTTCTAATTAGTTTGTCCACATGGTGGCAACACTGGCCTGAGCTGTTGTTGTTTCACATTCTATGTTCACACATGCTATCAAATAGAGTGGAGTTAAAGACACCGCTTTAAGTGTTTGCCTCAACTGAAGTGTGGTTTGGGCTTAAGTCCGATATGACTGGTTCAGATGCCTTTGGTCAGATTCACAGAAACACTTGCTGGATTAGTTGGCTTCTGTCATCTTGTCCTGCTTTCATCAGGCTGTTGAATAAGAGCTCATGATTGATTCCTGTGGTCAATATCTGAGGTTTAATGAAGTGAAAGGCTGTATTAATGCAGTAATTTTCCAGTGGCACAGTCGGAGCGTGAACATGCGGTCACATCTACACGCCTGGCAGAGTTTCTGTGTGACCAGATCTCTTGTGAACAGGCGCTGGTTCGTCGCGCGGAGGACGTCATGCACACGTTAGCGGAGACGGTTCCGCTCAGCGAGAGAAAGCCTGCGGAGCCGTGGCTGAAGGACTTGGCCAGATTGAAGGAGAACCTCTGCTCTGCTGTTCAGCGTCTGTATCAGACTCTGAGGACCGTGTCTGACTTCCATCACACCTGCAACAGAGTACGTGCGGTTTGTGTTTGGCGTTCAGGCTGCAAATCAGTGATTCTCTAGTGTGTCTTTAACAACAAGTAGGTTTAATCAGCTTCTGGGAGTGAGAAAGTGCTATTGTTGATGGTCACACTACCCTAGTAAAGAAGTAATATATACTGTGGATGGATCAAAACCTTTCAAAGTTGTCCTAAAACCAAAATACGTTCTTAGGACAACTTTGATTAACTTTTTGGTCCACTTCAAATGTTGACTACTGTATATAATATACATTTATTTCACACTAAGTATAGTTCAGAGCTATTAGCATATTTACTGACGTATCGCTCAAGATAGAAATATGTGACCCTGGAGCACAAAACCAGTCATAATTTTTTAAAATTGAGATTTATACATCAATGGAAAGCTTATTTATCCAGCTTTCATGTGATGTATGGTTTGTTATGATAGGACAATATTTGGCCGAGATACAACTATTTGAAAATCTGGAATCTGAGGGTGCAAAAAAATCTAAATATTGAGAAAATCATCTTTAAAGTTGTTCAAATGAAGTTCTTAGCAATGCATATTACTAATCAAAAATTAAGTTTTGATATATTTACGGTAGGAAATTTACAAAATATCTTCATGGAACATGATCTTTACTTAATATCCTAATGATTTTTGGCATAAAAGAAAAATGGATAATTTTGACCCATACAATGTATTGTTGGCTATTGCTACAAATATACCCCAGCGACTTAACACTGCTTTTCTGCTCCAGGTTCATGTATTATAATTAAACTTTATTTGAAGGACTACTTGTGCGCAATGCACATTTCTTAACACTGAACCTAAAATGTGTTTTAATGTCACTAATATGAGAATTGTATGATTTCTGAATATCGTTTTTTAAATGCAAGATATTTAAAGTGCACCTGAAGTATACTTGCAATAGTTTCACTTTAGCACAATCAAATATACTTCAGTATATCTTTAGATGGTCTTCAGCACTACTTCCACACAATTAAAGTGCCTTAAGCACAACATTAGTTGTTCCAGTTTAGCAGACTTTAAGTTTACCAGTTTAGTACACCACAGGTACAATTGCAGGGTACTTTTTTTTAAATTTTTTATGGAGTACATATGTAAATGTTTCTGTAGACATTAACAGTGGGGTATTTGACATGAACTACACGAGGTCAAAGAAAAAGAAATGTGGTATTAGTTTCTTGACATTGTTGACTCAATCCACATGTGAATGAAGTGTGTAAGCGGAGTTGTGGTTTGGTTCTCTCCAGGTTAAGAGCTGGTATGATCTAGTGCTGCGCGAGAGCCTCCTGCAGGAGCTGCTGTGGAGTGGACACTGTGAGCTCAGCCGAGCCCCAGACCTGTCCAGCTGCAGGAGAGGAGTCCAGACCTTCCTCAGGAGAAACCCCTGCCCGGAGGTGCTGGAGCTGGTGAAGCTGGCGCATCTCGCTGATGCTATAACTGACCCGCACCTTCAGCACACTGGCTCGCAGCTGTCTCACAGGTACACAGAGAAAACTGTGGGTCACTTACGCTGTCCAGTGCATTATGGGCAAGCAGCCTTGTTCAGTGTGGACTCTTGGGTTGCTGTGGTGGTAAGAAACCTCAATGCATTGAGTAGTTTACCCAAAAATGAGAATTTGCTGAAAATGTCCTGCTCCGCAATGGATGCTCTGCAGTGAATGGGTGCCATCAGAATAGGAGTCTAAACAGCTGATAAAAACATCACAATAATCCACAAATTATCCACACCACTCCAGTCCATCAGTTAACATTGCAGCTTGTGAATTTACTTGCATTAATTGTGGATTACTGTGTTTGGACTCTCATTCTGACGGCACCCATTTACTGCAGAGCATCCATTGCTGAGCATGGTATCTAGCTGTCGTAAAATTTAAACCACAATTATCTTTAAATTGTTGCTCTGCTATGACACTTTACCTTAAACTGGCCACAGAAAACCATTTGGTCCCATGTCAGCAATACTGACAATGTCATGCATGCACACAATAGGCTGACAACTACCAAAAAGCATCTTACTAAACCGTTTCATTACATTTACATTTAGTCGTTTAGCAGACGCTTTTATCCAAAGCGACTTACAAATGAGGACAATAAAAGCAATTAAAAAACTAACAAAAGAGCAATGATATACAAGTGCTATAACAAGTCTCAGTTAGCTTAACGCAGTACACGTAGCAATTATATAATATAATATAATATATTATATAATAAATAAAAAGAAAACCGATAGAATAGAAAAGTTTCACTTTAGCACAATCAAATATACTTCAGTATATCTTTAGATGGTCTTCAGCACTACTTCCACACAATTAAAGTGCCTTAAGCACAACATTAGTTGTTCCAGTTTAGCAGACTTTAAGTTTACCAGTTTAGTACACCACAGGTACAATTGCAGGGTACTTTTTTTTAAATTTTTTATGGAGTACATATGTAAATGTTTCTGTAGACATTAACAGTGGGGTATTTGACATGAACTACACGAGGTCAAAGAAAAAGAAATGTGGTATTAGTTTCTTGACATTGTTGACTCAATCCACATGTGAATGAAGTGTGTAAGCGGAGTTGTGGTTTGGTTCTCTCCAGGTTAAGAGCTGGTATGATCTAGTGCTGCGCGAGAGCCTCCTGCAGGAGCTGCTGTGGAGTGGACACTGTGAGCTCAGCCGAGCCCCAGACCTGTCCAGCTGCAGGAGAGGAGTCCAGACCTTCCTCAGGAGAAACCCCTGCCCGGAGGTGCTGGAGCTGGTGAAGCTGGCGCATCTCGCTGATGCTATAACTGACCCGCACCTTCAGCACACTGGCTCGCAGCTGTCTCACAGGTACACAGAGAAAACTGTGGGTCACTTACGCTGTCCAGTGCATTATGGGCAAGCAGCCTTGTTCAGTGTGGACTCTTGGGTTGCTGTGGTGGTAAGAAACCTCAATGCATTGAGTAGTTTACCAAAAAATGAGAATTTGCTGAAAATGTCCTGCTCCGCAATGGATGCTCTGCAGTGAATGGGTGCCATCAGAATAGGAGTCTAAACAGCTGATAAAAACATCACAATAATCCACAAATTATCCACACCACTCCAGTCCATCAGTTAACATTGCAGCTTGTGAATTTACTTGCATTAATTGTGGATTACTGTGTTTGGACTCTCATTCTGACGGCACCCATTTACTGCAGAGCATCCATTGCTGAGCATGGTATCTAGCTGTCGTAAAATTTAAACCACAATTATCTTTAAATTGTTGCTCTGCTATGACACTTTACCTTAAACTGGCCACAGAAAACCATTTGGTCCCATGTCAGCAATACTGACAATGTCATGCATGCACACAATAGGCTGACAACTACCAAAAAGCATCTTACTAAACCGTTTCATTACATTTACATTTAGTCGTTTAGCAGACGCTTTTATCCAAAGCGACTTACAAATGAGGACAATAAAAGCAATTAAAAAACTAACAAAAGAGCAATGATATACAAGTGCTATAACAAGTCTCAGTTAGCTTAACGCAGTACACGTAGCAATTATATAATATAATATAATATATTATATAATAAATAAAAAGAAAACCGATAGAATAGAAAAAGAACAGAGAAAGCTAGTGTTAGAGGGCTTTTTTTCACAGGTTTGCAAGAGTTGTCACAGTCAAGTAATGCATTTCCACAGTTATTAACATTGTTTTATTAAATTAGTCATAGAAGATGTATTTTTTAATAATTTACAAAGTAAACAGAAAATTCTTGCTCTGAGTAATGGGTCAAGTAATGAGTAATTTTACATTTTGTCTCTTCTGGCCAATGTAATCAAGTTCTCCATTTATTTATTTTTTTTTACATTGAAAAATGTCCCCGAGATGCTGTTGTGGATCTTTTGTTGTTGGGGCAAATGGAATGCAAAACTGATTTGTAGTTTGTTCATCACTATAGAAGTTTAACTATGATAGCTTCTGCTTCTCGAACCCTGTAAACGTGAAAAGGGTCTATCGGTTGGTTGGAAATTAGGCTATATTTGTCATTGGAAATGCTGTGCTGGTATACAGACTTGTGCAGCATGGAGCTTCTGTTTGAACATGTTTTCATGACCGTCCACAGATGCATGACTCTGAGGAGACTCTTGACCTCCGCTGGGGCCGTTCCCCTTCACGACCTTCAGCTTGCCCTCCAGTGGCAGTACGAGTTCCTCAAGGGTCACCACAGGACCTCTGACATCACTTCCCCCGAGGACCAGCACGTTTCCTGCCGTCTGCCTCCAGACTCGGCCGCTCGTGCGGTTTCTCAGTGTGAGAGCTTGTGTGATTTAGCCAAGTGGCCTTCTGTTGGCGACTGCCGTCACCAGATCTCTGCAGGCAAGCCTCCTTCTCTCAGCTCCTTTGACTCTGGTTTCGATGGAGCGGCTAGCAGTCACCTGGACAGCAGGAGTAGAAGAGAGCCGCTGCCTAGGATTCTGGGAAATGGAGACTTTTCCACTTTCAAGTCGAGACCTCTGCATGGACAGATTGACGAGGAGAACATTGTGAGCGTGTCTGATTCTGAAGACCAGCGTGAAGAGCTAGGGTTTAGTTTAAAGCGGGACTCCACTCGTGCCAGCATTCAGATCGTTCCCAGAATTACCTCCGACTCCCTGAACCTTGAGATCAAAGTGAAGCGCTCCGCTACGCTGCCCAAGAACCCCTGGCTGAGCCTCCCGATAGATGATCTGGAGAGCTCTTATACGGTCACCATTACACCCAGCTCTTCCAGAGATCGGCCCGCTCCGACGGAGGAGCTGGGATCCGCTCCGTACCAGAGTCAGGAGAGCTTTGAGTCGTCGGAGCTGGATCCTGTGGGAAACGTTCTGTCCAGCACCTTAACAGATAATGAAGACAAGCCCAGCAGCACGGTGGAGGATCCTTCTCTTCTCTGGGACACGTTTGATCTGCACAATCTCAGACAGGACTCTTACGAACGGTTAGACTTCTCTTCAAGTGTTTAAAACATTAGTTCACCCAGAAATTAAGACCTGCTAATAATTTATTCAAACTCTTCTACATCTTGGATGCCTGAGGGTGTTTCTTGATGGGATCAGGTTTGGAGAAATGTAGCACTGCATCAGTGTCTCAGCAATGGATGCTCTGCAGTGAATGGGTGGCGTCAGAATCAAACCTGATGAAGAAACAAACTCTTCTACATCTGGGATGATCAGAGGGTGAGCATATTTTCAGCAGATTTTTATATTTTGGGGTAACTCTTACTTTAATTACACACTACAGTGAGCAGTATCACTGAGTCAGATGTCCATGCTCTGCTTCTGCTGGATGTTTCAGATGTTTCTTCTAAGGGTTTGTGTTCTTTTCTGTTGGGTAGGTTAGACGTGTCTCTCGGTGACTGGGTTCAGAGAGAGCAGCAAGAGCTGAGAGAGGTGGAGGAGACTTTAGACCGAGCAGCTGAGATCCTACAGGTGTGTGTCTTGAGCATCTCTTCTGTTCTCATGCCACATGCATCACGTCAGTGAACTATACAGACAGATACAGCCATCTGTCACGGCACATTAAAGAGCGCCACAATGGCATTTAATGTGCATTCTATGATAAAATGAACCGAATTCAAAATCTGATAATTTGGGGGTTTTTTTTAATCCGAAGTAACAAAGCACAAAGCTGTTGTGGTTATTGGATGGAATGTGTTCTATATAATGCCTCGTTAATGCATGCATCAACTGAAAGAGCATAGATGGAAAAAAAAAATTTGATTCTTAAATTCCAAGATCAATCTAATTTGTTTGCTACACATGCACACTGAACCAAAAGACCTGTAATGAAAATTTCTGATATGCATACGTGTACCATTAAAACCCTACTCCACTCTGAATAATTTCAGGAGGAGGAGAATGTGCTTGCACAGGAGGTGGTGCTGGATGAGCTGCTGAGGTCCGAGGACTTGCACAAACACTGGCCCTTATGGACTGAAGGACACCAGCTCAGTACGGTGAGTCTGAAATAGATTTTAAGTATGAGATATAATAGTTTATTAAAAGAAATGGAGTTGTCAAATGCATAGGCTTTCTAGCATTAATTTTATGCTACTATAGCAACAATGTAGCACAGTCCATTTCACAAACTCACATTTTAATTGTTGCACACACTCTCCATGCAACTAAGAATGCAGCTCTGCATGATGAAATTTTTATTTTTATGTTTAATAGAGGGCTAGATGGTCGTATTGTTGCTGTTCAAGTTGTTCTAACTTACCATAAAATCATGCATCTGTTAAATGAGTCGCAGTGAGTGTTACGTCAGTGAATCGGTCACAATGAGCATGTGTTTTATAGTAAAGCAGACACAATTAAGTATTTCTGGTGGTGGCGGTGGTATCACTGGTCTGTATTTGTGGTGAAATTTCTGCTTAAGTCATTTATATCTAGTGATCTAAAAAGTCAACTTTTCGAATATGTTGGCCTATGCGATTGTTTTATTCAATACTCTGCCGTCTGTATTTGCCAAGTAGCTTTTAGTAGTGTCATTCACTCAGAAGGGTTTTTTTTTTTTTTTTTTTTTTTACATATATATGGTTCAGGTCCCTGTTCGGGCGCCACTTATGTAACGGTTGTGGCCCGCCAAAGTTAAATTGCAGTATTTAAGGCAGTTTTCCATTGTATTTCAATGTAAACGTGCTATGGACGTCTTTGAATGCTGCGCTCTCGTCTCCGGTCTTTATAGCAGCTTCTGGCGCATGATGCATCATTCTAAAACACGGCACTCAAGTTTAAAGAAGTTCAGCTTTTAAAAACGCGTCTATAGACCTTGCGCTTTTTTTCAATTCCACTGACGTGTCTTGCATTTTAACAGCCAAAACACTATCTGTGTGAACCTGTTAGGTAGTAGGCTGTCGATGCTATTTAATTCACTTTAAACATCGGATGCAGTAATTCTTTCTCTATAATACAGATGATGCTGGGTTATTAATAAATTAGTCATGACAAAAAAATAATGATATCAGATGTATTTTTTTTTTTTATGAGCGATTATAAGGTACCCAGCTTAGCTTGTTGGATAAGACCCACTACGGTGATGAGCCTGTGTGTGAACTGATATTAGGCTAATATTGTAGACCTACCAATGTGTTGGGTTTTGCTCGGTATGATCAGTGGGCTTGCTGCGGTTGAATATCTAAATATGAGACGTCCCAGACCAAACCTAAAATACTATGTGGAGGACGCAAAATAATTTAATTATAATATGACCACGTGGTGAACCTATATGAACCGAACTCGTATTTAAACACCGTCTTCATGCGGTGTACAGGCATCTATCCTCACGTACAATGTTGGCTGTATTTGTGTCCCCTTCAAAAATTGCTCTTGAGAAATTGTTTATTGTCCCCTCCTATAAGAAATGTATGTCCTTGCTCACAGCCTCACATGCCTGTGCTCTTTCCCTTCCAGATGTGCCCAAGAGAGCTGGCTGAGTCTGGCGTGATCGGATTGGATGACGATGTCCTTCAGAGTGACCTCACTTCCCCTGACTCGGACACGCTGAGATCCTGTGAGGTTTGTGAAGACGACTCTGTTGCTAAGAGTCCATCCACATGTGAAGGGCCTGTGCAGCGGGACACGGGATGTCCTGAGGAACACCGAAGCGGGATCCTTCGAGAGCTGAGAGGCATTCAAGTTCTCGAGGAGCAAATTATGCAGGAGTGCGTGAAGCTGGAGGCACTGCGCTGCAGAGAGACTGAGAGTCTGGGCTCAGAGGAGCCGGCGCTGGATCAGGTCAGGGAGAGGAGCGTGTTCCTGCAGCAGCTGGAGAAGATGGAGAGAAGCCTGGGCAGAGAGACGGAGAGAGCGGGCAAGGCCAAGAGGAGGTCGAGCAAAGGCCGCAGGGTTGTGACGTGTTCGGTCATGACGCTGAAAGATCTGGACGATGAGCTGTTGAGGAGCTGTGGGCTCCAGTCGCTTCCAGATGCTGAGAAAACCTCTTCGGATTTGGTTTCAAACGCAGAGGAGTGCACCAGTCCGAGTCCAGCTGGAGATGCTGATCTCACCGACTCGAGTTTGACTTCTGAGCCTGCTTCTACCGCGAGCCTCGGACGTCTCGACTCTGAATCCCTTCAGTCTCGTCACAGTGAGCCTGTTGCGTCGAGCGGTTTGTCTGAGACTGGAAAACTGGAAGTTATCCCGCCCAGCACAGACGTGTATCCTGAGCATTCGGAGGATGAAGCGTCTTCCTGCGACGGTCCAGACGGTGCAGATCTGCTGGAGACGGGAGAAGCGTGCTCGACTCGGGACAGCGGGGATGTGCGAGGTGCGTTTGATCCTGGAGGCGTCTCCGAGAGCGTCGACCGCGCTTGTGGACGAGAGGAGAGACGTCCATCAGACTGTGAAGCGCGGGTGGACTCAGGGCTGTTCGTCGTTCCCTCGAAGCTCATGCAGAACAATAACAACAACAACACCGCAGTGCTGTGCAGTGGAGAGAGCCCAGGGCGCTCCGAGGACTCCAGGTCTGCGGTCTGTGACGGTGGAGGATCCACGAGAGCGGCCTGCAGATCTACTCTCCAGCAGCGGCAGCTCCACACATCCAGCAGACAGGTGAAGACCACAGCCCTCCTCAGAAAACACACTATGCTAATATCGGAGTTAGAATTATCACTCGCTTTGCAAAAACCATTTCTACACCTCTGATAATGCGAATAAATAAAATACACCACTCAGATAATGCTAGAATGTAGTCACTGAAATTCAATATGGTGCGAAAATGCCCCTGTATGGGTTGTTATACATTTATGTGACCCCGGACCACAAAACCAGTCATAAGGGTCAATTTTTTGGACAGGACAATATTTGTCTGAGATGCAACTATTTGGAAATCTGGAATCTGAGGGTGCAAAAAAATCTAAATATTGAGTAAATCATATTTAAAGTTGTTCAAATGAAGTTCTTAGCAATGCATATTACTAATCAAAAATTAAGTTCTGATATATTTACGGTAGGAAATTTACAAAATATCTTCGTGGAACATTATCTTTACTTAATATCCTAATGATTTTTGCCATAGAAGAGAAATGTATAATTTTGACCCATACAATGTATTGTTGGTTATTGCTACAAATATACCCCAGCGACTTAACACTGCTTTTGTGCTCCAGGCTCACATTTAAGATATAGCATTGTCACATGAGCAAAAGTGCTGTTTTGCACTAAATATCAGCATGATTGCAAATGTGGTTGAACTGTTATATATAATCAATAAGCTAATGTTGAGTTACATTTTGGGCACAATAGTTTTAATATTGTCCTTTTTTTTTCTTTTTTCCCCCAACAAAAACCGTTCCAAAGCAAGCTGGCACTGAACCAGTGTTCCCAAAGCAACACACAGCTGTTTAAATATTAAATGAATGCCGGTTTTAGTTTATTTAAAATATAAGTTTAATTTCGTATATATAAAAATATTTTGAATATTGTAGTGTGTTTTTTTTTTTTTTGAAGACACTCAGATTAATGCAATTGTAATTGTAGTGTAAACAAATTCTGATTCAGGTGCAGTGTCTGTGCCACTTCTGCAGTGCAAAGGTTTTTATTGGTTTCATTTGATTGGTAATGGCCTATGGCATCTTATTAACTGAATTTAATGATTAAATGCAAGACATTTAAAGGTGATGCATACATCTAAGAAGGTCTGAAATCATAAACCGTGTTGGGAAAAGTTACTTTTAAAAGTAATGCGTTACAATGTTGCGTTTAAAATATTGTTACTCCATAAAGTAACTGTGTAATGCATTGTTACAATTTTTTTTTTTTTTTTTTACTTTGTCATCTGGACTGGACTTTCTTTGTTTTTTTTTTAGTAACTAAAACCCAAAAGTTATAGTTTTGGCAACTGTAAAGGCCCTTTCACACCAAAAGAGTAATGAATGATCCACAGACTGAAGGAAGCGCCTCGGTCTCTGCTCTCGCTCCTGATTTCTCTGCGGGACAGGTGAAGAAATGGGAAAACAGCAACTTCCGTTACTTATTTGAAAAAGTAACTGATATTTTGTTGTAAATTTAATGCATTACTTTACTAGTTACTTGGAAAAAGTAATCTAATTGTGACTTGCATTACTCCCAACACTGCTTATAAACAGCAAAAATACCCCTGGAGCTCAATTCAATGCAGAAAATGGAATTAAACCAGCCAAGATACCAGCACAGAAGCAATCAGCAAAATGTCTACTTTATAAGGTCTAATTATTGTCAAAACCCTATAAAATATTGGAATATAGCTTGTCGATATTGCTCTGGCCTAGTTGTCAGTGTAGTTGCGGCGTTTGCAGTAGAGTGTCGATGAGATTATAGACGGCTGTTTGTTTGTCTGTTCCTGTTGTGTGTTAGATGAGTGATTATAAGACGCCCATCGTGCTGGACACAGGCTCCGGTCTGATGAAGGCTGGGTTTGCAGACCAGGACCTTCCAACTACAGTGTTCCCCACCGTCATCGGCCGTCCCAAATATGAGGTACACACTCTCTCCTGCTTTACCTGAGTGTACTGTATGCATGTGGAGAAAGCAAATCTCAGTTACATTGTGACATTATAAACAATCTAGCAGCTATCACGGCTTTAATCCAATAAATATGACTAAGTTGTTCTAAACGGCATGATTCTCTGTACAGCAGCTTTGGAAGCGTTTTGTGAAGAGTGCAAGTGAATTGGAGCCGCTGTGAGTTTCCTCAGCGCTTCTGTTGGTCTGGTCTGTTGCAGGAAGTAATGAACGGCAGTGTGGACCGAGAGCTGTATGTGGGGCATGACGCGCAGCACATGAGAGGAGTGCTAGCCCTGAAGTATCCCATCAGAAACGGCATCGTGAGCAGCTGGGATGAGATGGAGATGGTGGGTCCTTTCACTGCACCGAAACAGACAGTGTTTTTGGAGATTAGATGATCGTTCTTTGACCGGAGTTAAGGATTTTATCTGCCAGATTTCCTTAACCCTTGTGACATATTTGGGTGCATTTTGACCCAGAAGAGATACACAATAATAAAAAATAATAAAAAAATAAAAGCAATTTTAGTAAAACTGATTTTTTATTTTTTATTTTTTTTACACTTAATTTAAGAGATATAACCCTTTTTAAAACTTAGTTTCATATTTGGGTCATTTTGAGTGTCAGTGTAAACTATCGCCTTTTGCCCATATCTCACACACTGAATTTCGTTGATTAACATTTGTACAGGAACCATGGATACAATTTTCATGCTGCAATGATTGGTCAATCTTTTTCATCTGAAAGTGAAACTTTGAAATGTTTTCAAACAATGTAATTTTACTTGCATAGAGTAATATTTAGGTTGCTTTTATTTGGTTAAATATAAACATTCAGGTTTCATAAATTTAGACTTTTATTTATTTTATTTTATTTATTTTTTTTTGACAATCATGAGATATAAATTCAAAGTAACGTAAAATTGCATTCAATCCAAATGGGGTTAATACTGGTACTCCTCAGATTATTGTTCTTATAAATTTCAAACAGTGATGCATTCGAATAAAATTTCTTAATATTGAAAAATCTATTTTTTTTTTTTTTTTACATTAATCAAAAAGTTGGTAACTTTCAAAACACAAGCACATCATGAATGTCATCTCACACGGTTTGCGCACAGATTCAGTCACAGCAAACAGACTGGCTGTATTACACATTTATTCAAGCAGAACATCTCAATAGACAAACGTAGAGAGTGAGTGCACATCGTTGCCAGGTGGGGAACGTGAAGTAAAACATCGGACAGAAAATGTCTTAATTTACAGAAAAAAAGTTCTGACTAGGGGATTTAAACTCTTGACATCTGGCAAACGCAACCATGAATGCTTGTGGAGGCTCACTACCAGTGCAGGATAATGAAAACGACAAATTAAAAGATAAATAACTCTCCTTAATGCTTATCCTTAAATGGCAAGATGCAAAAATTGTTACCAGGATTAAAACGATTCATCAGGGCTGGTAAAATGACTGAAGACTGACCCGGGGCATGAACATAGACACTAGTCTTAAGAAGTACAGACTCTTTGTTGGTGTGGCTCAGTGTGATGCTCGTGTGTGTGTGCTGTAGATCTGGCATCACGCGTTCCAGCAGCTGTGTGTGTCTCCTGAGGATCATCCGGTGCTGCTGACCGAGGCCGCCATGAACCCGCTGCAGAACCGCCAGCGCTCGGTGGAGCTGATGTTTGAGGCCTTCAGCGTCCCGCTCGCCTTCGTGGCCCTGCAGGCCGTTCTGGCGCTCTACGCCTCGGGAAGAACCACGGGTCAGTCGGCTCCGCTCACACACCTATTACTGCTCTTTGTGTGGAGTAGTGTTCATTTTGGCAGCTGTTTTTAATTTAGTCTTAGTCTTGTCAAATGTAACTTAGTTTTTATCATATTTGTGACCCTGGAGCACAAAACCAGTCATAAGGGTAAATTTGTTTCGAAATTGAGATTTATACATCTGAAAGCTGAATAAGTAAGCTTTCCATTGATGTATGGTTTGTTAGGATAGGACAATATTTGGCCGAGATACAACTATTTGAAAATCTGGAATCTGAGGGTGCAAAAAAATAAAAATATTGAGAAAATCACCTTTAAAGTTGTTCAAATGAAGTTCTTAGCAATGCATATTACTAATCAAAAATTAAGTTTTGGTGTGTGTGTGTTCAGGGGTGGTGCTGGACTCTGGGGACGGCGTCAGTCACAGTGTTCCTGTGTTCGAGGGTTACTGTCTGCCTCACGCCGTGCAGCGCTTTGACCTGGCCGGATCCCACGTCACCCTGCAGCTCCAGAAGGTGCACAGGAGCACTGCTCATTACCATACCATAACTACTCATGCACCTCAATTAGGCCAACCGTAGGGCCAAAATCACTGACGCTTCATTAGCGTTTCTCCAGTGGTTAGTTTCAGTGCTGATGAAAGTTACTTTTAAAAGTAATGCATTACAATATTGTTACTCCATAAAAAAGTAACTAATTGCATTACTTACTCTACATAAAGTAATGCGTTGTTACTTTTGCAATACTTTGTGTCACATGGGTTGCGCTTGCTATTTGTTGTTTAATATCAAAAAACAAGTAATATTTTTGGTGACTATAAATGCCCTTTCACACCGAAAGTGAAATGAATAAGCCTCAGTCTGGAGGCAGTGCATGTGCACTCCACACTGAGACAGGAGTCAGTCAATTAATGGGAAAACCGTAACTTGCGTTACTTATTTTAAAGCAACTCCGATATGTCTTTGTAAATTTGAAAGTAAAGTGTTGCTTTACTAGTTACTTGACTGTGCTGAATTATATTGATTTCTCGTTTTGAATTGATCTTCTTTTGGATGAACAGATCTTAAAGTCTATGCTGTTTGCTATTATTTAAAAGCGTCACAAAAACAAATCAGCCACTCCAATTGTAGGAACATGTTAAGCACTGGCTTGTGTTTCCTGTAGCTGTTTGCACACAGCTGTTGATTGTGTTTTCGGTGCGCTGCAGCTGCTGCTGGAGCAGGGTGTGTGCATGCAGACGTCTGCCGAGCTGGAGATCGTGCGTGAGATGAAGGAGAGGTGCTGCTGTGTGATGCTGGATTACGACGCAGAGCTGAAGAGCTCCTCAGAGGTGCACTACACGCTTCCTGACGGGCGGATCGTCTCGCTGGCCTCCGAACGCTTCCGGTAACTGAGCAGCGTCGTGTTGTGCTCTGGTGGAGAGTTCACTGCAGACCAGTGTCTGAAGCTCAGATTCTATGTGACACTTTTCTTCATGTTTAATACTGTAAAGCTGCTTGCTGTAAAGCAATTTAGGCCTGGTTTCACAGATGGGGCTTAGATATAGTTCATAGTTCAATTAGGACATTTAGGTAGCTTTTATACACATGCCTGAGGAAAAACAACATTGCCTTTGTCTTGATGTACACCAGTACTGACATATGTGACCCTGGAGCACAAATCCAGTCATAAGGGTCAATTTTTCGAAATTGAGATATATGCATCGCCTGAAAGCTGAATAAATAAGCTTTCCATTGATGTATGGTTTGTTAGGATAGGACAATATTTGGTTGAGATACAACTATTTGAAAATCTGGAATCTGAGGGTGCAAAAAAAATCCAAATGAGTTCCAAAATCCAAAAGTTGTCCAAATTAAGTTCTTAGCAATGCATATTACTAATAAAAAATTACGTTTTGATATATTTACGGTAGGACATTTACAAAATTTCTTCATGGAGCTTGATTTTTACTTAATGTCCTAATGATTTTTGGCATAAAAGAAAAATCTATAATTTTGACCCATACAATGTATTTTTGGCTATTGCTACAAATATACCCCAGCGACTTAAGACATTTCAGAGTCACATTTATTGTGCATGCATTTTGTTGAGAGAAAAAGCGTGCAGCAATATTTACACATTCATGTTCGCTGATAGTAATCTGCTGTTTGTGTATTTAGAACTTATTTTTACCCCTGAAGAGGGATGGGCAATATCTTATCTTTGCGATATACTGGTAAAAATTTTCCCCATGAAAAGAATGTCTTCCCGCGATAATAACGATAAAGTCTAGTTGTGTGTGTGTGTGTGTGTGTGTGTGTGTGACCATGCGGAGCGACATATGGAGGAAGGTGGATGTGAAATTGAGGAGTTTATCGCTAAACCTTTACATTGTCATTTTGCAGACGCTTTTATCCAAAGCGACTTACAATTGGGGAATACATAAAGTGATTCTTCTTAAAGAGGCAAACAGACACAGGAAGTGCTCATAATACCAAGTTTTAGGCATTGTTCAAATAAGTACAAGCTAGAAAGGGAAGGAATAAATCGATAAAGACAGGTTTTTTTTTTTTTTTTAGTTTAGGATAAACGAGGAGCTCCTTAATCTGGAACTGGTTTGGTCAGGGCTGTACAGTGCACAAAAATCGCTCTGAGCCTTGAATAAATGTACTACAGTAGCACAGTTTTGCATGTGTATGAGCCTGTTTACAAAGCTGTTGTCCAACAAATATCTTTTATTGACATGCTTTTTCTCCAAATTAACTTAAGTCAAGTCAAATCATACTATTTTATAGTATTATATACAGTGATAAAGGCTATGTCGATTAGCATATATATATATATATATATATATACTTAAAAATAACCAAGATTGCTTGAAGAACATATATAAACCATATATAGTCGCAATATAGAAAAATCGTGTTTTTTCATATCGCGATATTATCGCAAATGCAATTAATCATTCAGCCCTAGTCGTCAGTGCTATTACTTCTGCGATGCATATGTGGAGTTTCTGTGCAAGAGCGCCCTCTGGATTCCAGTATGAATTAAACAGTCATTACATTACGCGTGTACTCGGTAATGCTCACAACACCCTATTTTGATATTGTTAACGCAATAAATACCAGAAATGATCGTGATTTATATTTTTAAGCCCATATTGCCCATCCCTAGCCCTGAATGAAGATTTCACATGTACTTGGCTGTGAGTCTGTGTGGCACAGGACTTTTATTGAGTTTGACCATCTGATATGGTCACACAGGGCACCGGAGATCCTCTTCAGGCCGGAGCTGATTGGGCGGGATCATTATGGGATGCACGAGAGCGTCTTCAGATCCGTCCTGCAGTCAGACATCGACCTGCGGCGCAGTTTTGTGGGAAACGTCCTGCTGTCAGGTGAGGTTGATCCTTAATTTCATTTTGCCCGCGTCGAGTAATCTGCTAAGTACTGGAAGTGGCACATTTCGCAGATGAGAATCCATGAAATGCATTATTAGACCGTTTTCCAAGGCTGCATGATATTAAACCCATTTAAAAATCATAAAGCATAATGCTATTAATTGAATCGTAGCAGTTTATGAATTCACAAATGTATGTGATGCAGGTTTACGATACATGCGCTTTATTTAAATGCGTGTAGGTTACTGTACGTGCGTGTCAGGCTCCGTTCACAGTAAATAAACGCTGCTCCGCACAAACTGTTATCATTTACATGTGTGGAGCGTCTCAAACTCCATCTCTGCCTGTTGTGAGTTTGGGTTTATTATAACGTTCATCTGGGAAGGCAATGTGTGCCATTTCATCAGATTTGTAAGGGAAATCATTTACAAACCTACGCAAGCACAAGAGAATAATACATCAATATCTTTTATCAATATGCTAACTGTTCATCGTGATTTCAAAATAAGTTTAAACCCTCAGTCTCATGAGTTTACATGTTTTGATGCTACAGCCACTGTAATTTCTTGAATATGTGGACATGTCGTAAAGAAATGGCCAAATATTAGCGGACATTTGAATTAAATGAGGTTTAGTCAATATTAAACAAGGATTAGATTGCGCAGTAAAGTGTAAAACGATCGTCTGGCCTTTGGCGCCCTCTGCAGGCAATTGTTATCATGTGTAATGTACATTTAGCTCTATTTTGTTCAATAAAATCATTTGTGACCCTGCAGCACAAAAGCAGTGTTAAGTCGCTGGGGTATATTTGTAGCAATAGCCAACAATACATTGTATGGGTCAAAATTATTGATTTTTCTTTTATGCCAAAAATCATTAGGATATTAAGTAAAGATCATGTTCCATGAAGATATTTTGTAAATGTCCTACTGTAAATATATCAAAACTTAATTTTTGATTAGTAATATGCATTGCTAAGAACTTCATTTGAACAACTTTAAAGATGATTTTCTCAATATTTAGATTTTTTTGCACCCTCAGATTCCAGATTTTCAAATAGTTGTATCTCGGCCAAATATTGTCCTATCCTAACAAACCATACATCAATGGAAATATTATTTATTCAGCTTTCAGATGATGTATAAATCTCAATTTCGAAAAATGGACCCTTATGACTGGTTTTGTGCTCCAGGGTCACATATTACTTGCTTTTGATTCTTTATTGGAGGTAATTATTATTGCCTGATTGCTATTATATATGTATTAAGTAATTTTAAAAGCTATTCTTCACTTAGGTCTATTTTTATTACCACAAAGAAAATTAATTATAATTATCCTATTAATCGTCAGAATAATCGACAGATTACTCCATGACCAAAACGATTGTTAGTGACCACCCTAGTGACGTGTGTGTGTGTGTGTGTGCGCGCGGCGCAGGCGGGAACACGCTGCTGTCGGGGCTCCCTGCGCGTCTGCGGCACGAGATGCGGCTCCTGTGTCCCGCGGATCTGAGCGTGAGCGTCAGCAGCCCGAGCGATCGAGACTTCTCCGTGTGGCGCGGCGGAGCGGCCCTGGCCAACATGGCCGACCTCTGCGGCGCCTGGATCAGCGCAGACGAGTACGAGGAGTTCGGCCCGCAGATCGTCTTCAGGAAGTGCTTCTGAGCCGTCACGATCTTACAGTGCTTTTAACACTTTTAGACAGGGTTTTTGCCGTTTGTGGTGCTGTAGAGTGTATTAATGGTGCCAAGTGTTGATGCGAGTCTTGTAGGACTCCATGTGTTTTTAGATTCCAAGAGAAAAATGAATGACCTTTTTAAGCTCTACATGCATACACTGGTTGTATCAATCAGATTGTTTGTCTCTTTGCCACTTTAATTATAATCTAATCAATCATGTCTAATATGTAAATTTGTGTGTTTAATATATCTATGAGATATGAATGTGACCTTTTCAGTGTTTTGATGCTTTTCATGAGGCTCACGTTGCAACTATTACTTGCGTCTGTGAATCTGGTTCACATGGACATGAGGCTTCACCGTATTAGACGTGCTGCGGATCCTTTCCTCCATCGTATGCGTTTCTCAGCTGTTCCTCAGACACGCGTGTGTGTGTGTGTGTGTTTTGATTTGCTGAGCAGGATTGGTTTGATTTGCATGAATCTCACGTCACCTCTTTTCATCTGTACTTTCACTTGGGTTGTGTTTTATCTGAGGTGGTTTTGAGCTGCATATGGATCCGTCAGCGGCTCGTGTGTTGAATTCTGAGGTTTGCATGATGTTGATTAGCTGATCCACATCCTCTTGTGTGTTCAGTTTAAAGCGCTCTGTTGCTCAGTGTGTTTGCCTTGAGTGCACGGTGAACCCAGCACGTGTTTAGCATCAGTGTCTGTTAACTGGCTAATGTCTGGATCTTTTTACAATAAATATGATTTCTAAACAAGGCTCTTCTTGTGTACTCCGTGTTTGTTCTTGTCGCCCTTCTGCTTGATGGTTAAGAAGTAGATGTGTTTGTGGCAGGTTTTCATTCGCTGGCTTTCCTGAATGCTGCCCACTAGTGCATACAAACACTCACTGCACGGCGAGATCTGTGCCTGACCTAAACTGAAATGCATTCAGAGCTCTTTAAGTTGGCTCAAGCCAAGTCTGCTGGCCTGAAAGGTTTCAGTGAAGTAGTTTGTAAACGACGAAAGTCCAAACTAGAAAAAATCATCCAGGTTGTGATTTGTTGTTTTTGTTCTCGCACCAAAATGACTTCACGTTCAATATGTAAACATGTTCCTACAACAATTACAACATCTTGTCAAAGCAAAAAAAAAAAGTGCAAAGGCACAAAATACTCCAGGTTTACTCCACTTAGGTTTATCAGCTTAAACCACAGCATCCTGTACATTAGCATGACCTCCAGTTGCGTGATAATGCTCACTGAACAAGTCCAACACTTTAACCCAGCACAAGTAAACCACGGTGTTGTCCAGAAGTGACCTGGCCTCCCTGGAAGCGTCTCGGTCAAGCTGTTGATCTGAGCTCATGGTGTTTGGAGTGTTTTCCAGCACGACGAGATGCATGTTTTCAGCCAAGCAAGATATTCCCACTTGCAAAATCATAGAAGTGCTCCTGTGAAATTGACAAAACAAGATCATTTCACATCTGTATCGCAGCGATTCACAGGTGAAATGTCGGAGTAAAGTACGAGTTATTCGAGCAGAGCTGGGCAATAACTGATGACATCTAATCTGGATTACATCATCAGATTCCAGAAAGTAAGTACTTGCAATTAGATTAAATTACATTATAATATTAAGGTTTAATGCACTTTGTGTTTTTATATCAATATTGTACAATGCTATCCTATTTAAATCATTGTGCTAAACAAGTTAGGTTAAAAGTAATCTGATTATATTACCTAAAATGTGTAATGTAATGGATAATGTTACTAAATACAGTTTTTATCATGTAATTTGGAATCAGTAATGGACTGCACTGGATACAAGAATAGTTCACCCAAAACTGAAAATTCTGTTCATTTACCCTCATGCTGTTCCAAACTTTCATGACCCTTCTGTCTTATGAACACACACACACACACACACACATATATATATATATATATATATATATATGGCAGTGTGTTGGTGGCTGTGCACTCTTCAAGCACCTCTGATTTCTCTGTTAAGCTGGAGTCCTCTGTAACAACATCAATGCTGTAGAATAGTTTCCTCAGAAATCCTATACCACTCACTTCTGCTGAACACTGAACACTTGAGAACCCATTAAAATAGTGTCAGAAGTAGTTTGTGACTCGTGTGCCATGTCTTGTGAAAAATGTAGTCTCTGAGAAGTTTAGGAGCACAGCACTAATATCATTATACAATGATATGATGTTATAAAATACATTTTGTACACCATTTCATATGATATTTTTATGACCTTTGCAATTAACTGTTTTGAACCAATGTAATGAATCTAGTCCGGTAGGTTACCATGAAATATGACCCAAATTAGAGCAGGGTCCCTTTTAGGTGTTTTTGAGCTTCAATCTGAGTCACTTTTACCATTAGCTTTCTCCACACAAGCTGGCGTGCAGTTCTACTTCCTGTGCAATGGTGCCTGCACATTAAAGACAATGTATGCAGGGCAAATTTAGTAAAAGAATTGATAATTGACAATGTTCAGTTTAGCTTGTGTACCTCGCAGCATTGGATGATGTTGCGTCAGGTCTAAAGTTTTGCCTTGAAGATGTTCCCTCCATCAACACCAAATCTTCTTCCCGCAAACAGAAAAGAATAATGTTCTACTGATAGAGTTCTAGGCTGTTGTGAGTAGCCACACATTAAACTTCCACATTTCAATATGCCCCTGACTTCTAAGGGGTGTTTTTAGTTCATTAAAAGGTCTTCAAAGCAAAGTCTCTGCAAGGCTACAGTGGTTCTGGCTGACAAGTCCTGAATATCAGTCGTTACTATTGAAGTAATACGTTCTGCAATTATCATTGCACAGGTCTTAAAGATAGTACAAAACAAACCTGTTATTAAAATGCACAATACAAGTCAAAATCGTTGTATTTTAGAGAACTGTGTCGCGGCATGATTTGAACAGCTGTTAGACCTGAGTGTGCACATACCGTTATGAATCGCGATAAAGTCGGTTTTATATTGGGACATTCGCTATAAATTAATGCTTTAGAAAAGATCGAATGTCTATGTAATCGCATAATAGTCATGGATCATGCTGTATCTCGTTCAGATCACATTTAAAAGCATAATATCAAAATTAATAATAATTCGATGATGTAATTGTTTTAAGCATTAGAAGTGTAAAAAGTCCTCACCATGATCCCCGCTTGGGCATGTCAAGTTGGGGAGTGTCTCAAAAGTGCAAAATCCACGAAAAAACCTGGTTAAATATGTGCATTATTTCATAAAAAACAAACAAAAAAAACACTAAAACCGTGATCTGTTTTCATGTGTAGTTTATATACTGTCCTCTCGACAGTCCGCTAACATGAGGGATGAAACTCCAATAATGACTGGAGGTGTAACTTTTCCTGGGTTTAATTGACATTTCCTTTTTCCCTTTTCATATTGTAAAACTGAAAATCCAGAACAAAACAAACATATCAGTATACAAATACAGTAATAAAAAGCTAAACACAAAACATAAACTACTGGCAGGTAAATTATACATTTCTGAAAGCAACAATGACACTCTTAATATGAAAACAATATCTTTCAGTCACTTACAGACAAACAATGTCCCAGGAACAACGTAAAGAGAAATTTAGATGCACCATCTATCAAGCGTGTGCTCTGGTTACTCCTTGCTTTCAACTAAATAAAATGCCACTAGATGGCACTGTTACTCAACAAAATAACTTCAAAATAAAAGTCCTGATAGTCAAAGAAGGCAGCACAGTTTATGTTAGCAAACAGATGAGGTATAGATTAAGACAGTTTTTAACTTTTATATGATTAATATATCTGTTATATGATTAATATATCTGTTATAAATATGTAAGTAAACTGAACATCTTAATGACATAAATCTGTTTAACTTTGTGATTGTTTTATCTAAAGAGCTCAAATCACCTACAATATTTTGATACATAAATGCAGCATATAATACACAACTTAGATTTAAAAATAGCCAATACATATATTGTGCATTTGTTATGAATTTTTGACATTTTCAAATCTATTACACTTCCTGCTCATGTGACCCGTTGATGTCACACGAATTGTGACATGTTAACACACATCTGCCACGCATCATACATGACTTGGATTTTGGAAATATGATTTTGTGAATTTTTAAAGGGGTCATATGATGCGATTTCAATTTTTCCTTCCTCTTTGGAGTGTTACAAGCTCTTGGTGCATAAAGAAGATCTGTAAAGTTGCAAAGACTAAAGTCTCAAATCCAAAGAGATATTCTTTATAAAAGTTAAGAGTCAGCCACACCTACCTAAAACGGCTCGTTCTAACACGCCCCCACATGTCTCCCTCACTATGTGGCAAGATTTGCATAACGCCGCCCAAATGTTCACGCAAAGAAAGAAGGCGTAACTTTTATTCTCGCTGTAGTATTGTTGTTGCTGCCGCCATGTCCTGAAGACACTGTGTGTTTCGTAGTGAAACTTTGTTTGGTCTTCCAAAAGAGGACGATATCTGCTTCGTCATACCTGGAGCTGATCTGTGCTGGTCGCTGACAAATATACAAATCAATATAACTTCCTGGTCATGTGACCTGATGACGTCACAACTGGTCTACTTTAATCCGACTTGTGTATGATGGAAAGGAAATGCGTGTGAACAAAGTAGACCAGTTGTGATGTCATCACGTCACATGACCAGGAAGTTATATTGATTTGTATGACGGAAAAATTCATTAAAAATACACCAATTGTATTGAGTCATGTATGATGGGAAGAAAATATGTGTGACCAGCAGCTTTATTACATTTTCTAACGCAAATAAACTATTTGCCTTACAATTACTATTATCTTCAGGGCATATGCTCAGGAAATTTGTGTACATATAATGTTACACAACTATACAAAATGGTTTGGTGGCATTGTGGTAGAGCGTTTGCCGGTGAATAGGACACGTCACAAGGACGTGAGTTCGATTTCTACTTATGTCAGGTTGAAGTAGAATTTATTTTCCTATTTACAGTGTCCTATAAAATAAATGTTGCAAATAAAAAATATGTTCATAAACAAAGCTATATAAGGTGTGACGTGTGAATTTATTGCTGATGGTCTTGTATGTGGTTAAGATGCTAAATAAATATGAATACATTTTAAAAATCGCTGCGTAAGTTTGTGGTTTTTGTACCAAAACAGTTTTCGTTCACGTTTAATACTACACTTGCATAACGCTGCTTATGTTTTAGAGCCAGAGAGACACGTTTTTTTGTTTATCTGTTCACACTTTAGAGACGCTCCCTAACTTTCCAAGCCGAATGTCCAATATAAAATCAACTTTACCGAATTCGGTTATAATGAATCATAACCAGCCAAATGGGCTAGCAATTTGATGTGCGTTACCAACCTGACTTCACTGGAGCTATAAATCTATAATCTCTGAAATATTGGCCTGACGCTCTTCTATTGGGGGCTCTGGCAGCTGGCTATAGCATACTGATGGCTAATATACGGAGCCCGGGAAGTCACCTGTAGGAGAAAAAAAAACAATCCGTGGCGACGGTTTTGCAATCCGTCCCCTCAATTTATAAACCGTACTCACGAATTCTTAAACTGTTCCCTCGGTTTAACAAATCGTGCCCACGGATTAATAAACCGTACCCACGAATTTCCAATCCGTGCACTCAGATTTTGTAAACCGTATCTTCGGATTTTGAATCCGTACCGACAAATTCATAATCCGTGCGCACGCTTTCGCAATCCGTTCCCTCGGGTTTGTAAACTCATGGATTTGTGGCCCC